CCGGCTCCTGCTGCCACCGGAGCCCTGAGCGGTGCCTGGGCGCGCGCACTGCACACTGCGCACACGCGCACCCGCACACCCGCGCACCTGCACACACCCGCGCACACCCGCGCACTCGGCTGCTCGCGGTCCGGCTGCAGCCCGGGTCCGGTCAACGGGAGCGCCCCTCTGTCCTGCTGCCCGATGCGCGCCCCTCCAGGCGGGGAGGACTTCGACCTGGCCCTGGGCGACGCAGGAGCGGTGGGTCCCCGGGAGGAACCGCGGCCGCCTTCTGGGAACCTCCCCAGGGCGCGCAGCACAGGGTGGTGGCGGCGCCCACTCTGGAGCGGGACTCCCAGCTCCGCCACTTACTTTGCTGTGTGACCTTGGGCAAGTTGGGCGACCTCCTTGAACCTTGGGCTCCTCCTTACTTGAAGGAAGCACAAAGAGGTTATCCACGGAGGCCGTTGGAGGGGGCCTGGTTCCTGTGGACCCTGGGAACAGTTGGCTGGGACTGGGATTCCTCGTCCTCCCTTCTTAACCGGCCCGGGGCTGGAGGCTTCCTGCCCCAGGTATTCCCACACCCTCCTCCAATCCCAGGACCAGCAAGGGATGGACGTTGATTTTGTTGGCACCGGGATCTGCATCACATAGATGGCAGTTGATACCAGTCAGGTCCAGAAACCGTGTTCCCTAGTCCCAGAGGCTGGGGAGGCTGAGGCAGGAGGATGGAGAGTTCAAAGCCAGCCTCAGCAACTCAGAGAGGTTCTAAGCAACTCAGCCAGATCCTGTCTCAAAATAACTCAAAAAGGGCTGGGGAGGTGGCTCAGTGGTCATGCATTCCTGGGTTCATTCCTCGGTGAACCGTGTTCCCAATAGGCCCTCCCACAGGGTCCCAGCGCCTGGGTGGTTACAGCTGACTTTGCCTCTGAGGACGTGTCCCCCACATCTCAGACTTCACAGGGTCTGCAACAGCTCGGCTGGGGATGTGGCTCACACTATTATTAGTTGTTCTTGCAATAAATAGGGCCATTTACAGGATCGTGCCCCGGGGCCTCACTGGTATTGTGTATGCACAAGTTGTTCCTCAGACAGTCACTAAGGCGTGACCCAGAGCTTCCCTCCTGCTGAGGTGGAGGTCTGGCCTCCGTGCCTCCCTACTGACCCTGCTGGCTGGGGCTCAGGTCCTCTGGAGCAGACCTTGGACTGCCACCCAGTGGGCACTCAGCATGCAGGTGGTGGGTGTCCCGCGTGCCCGGACGCGCAAGTTGGCACATGTGCAGCGGGCTCCTGATTCCCTGTGGACCGGGTCTGGGCAGGAGGTGGACGTCCATGGTCAACAGCAATGACCTGTAACAGGAGGAAAGTTCCTGAACAGCTTGGGACATAAGACAAGGGCAGAGACTCAGGCTGGAGCGAGAGGGTGGTGTGGGCGGGGGAGGGACCCAGCCCCTGGACGCCCGGATCCAAATCTAGGGCTCCCGGGTGACCCTGGGGAGAGGAGAGATGGCGCTCTCCAAGAACTGGACCCTCTGGTTTGGGACTCCCACTCTTAGAGATGGGGTGGGTTGGCCTCCAGGTCTCCACGGTCCTCCCTGACCTCAGAGCCTCTTCCCTCGTCCTCCTGTCGGGCAGAGCGGGGAGGGTGGCCTTCCGGGCGCCTGTCAGAGAGCCGAGGTCTGTGAACAGCTCCGCTTCCACCAGAGAGAGGGGCCCAGCCAGCTCAGACGCAGGGCACACGGTCTCCTGGCACCGGTGAGCCCTGCCGCTCACGCCAAAAAGTCCCCCTTCCAGCCCAGGGTCCCCAGCCCGGAGCTGGCCTCAGCACCCCCTGCTTGGCCCTGTCAGCAACCTCCTCCTGTCAGAGGCCCTGAGCCTCCTGCCTCTCCTCCCTGAGTAGGACCGGCTCAGAGCTTGAAGTGGAGGAGAGGCAGGAGAGCCTAGGAGAGGATCCAGGAGGAGAGGACAATTTCCCATCAGTTCAGGCTCCGGAGGGAGAGGACATGTATGAAGGCAGACCCTGAAAGGGCAGGGAAGATGGAGGTTAAACATTCAGTGTACCAGGAGCGCCGTGAGTAGCCAGTAAGAATAAGCCTGATCTCTAGGAGTCCTGCCTGCAGTCTAACCTTCATCCCTCCTGCTGCATCATCAGCTTCTTCCACGGCCAACGCGGGTCCCCATGTTCTTCTAAGTCTAGCTTGACCCTTAAAGCTGATGTTGGACACTAGCTCTCCAGCCTTCCCTCCTGAGGGCACGTTGGCCTGTGCCCGGCTTGTCTTTGCTGGGGACCTAGGGGCAGCTCTGTCCCTTTCTGGGCATCAGTCTCCGTTTCCCAGTGTCCCACTCCACCTCTCAGAAGACTTGAGATATTTAGAAGAGGATTCTGAGTTCCGGAGCGTCTGACCACCAGGGGTAGGAAGGGGTGCTCGCTCCCTCTTATTCTCACCCCCCTTAGCCTCCCCCCAGCCTGGAGCCTTCACAAAAGGTGGGGTGGGGGAGGAGAGGCTGGATGGGGTCCAGACTGGCAGAGACGGGGGCTTTGTCCCAGCTGGTTTGTGAGCCGGGAGATCCGGTGGGAAAGCCCGAGCCAGGCAGAAAGGAATGGCTGGGAGGAAGAGGGAGGGCGGTGGGGAAGGGGGGTCCGAGGGTGACAGGCGCGCAGAGCAGAGGCAGGGGACAGGGGGCTGGCTGGACACGGTGGCCCACACCTGGAATCCCAAGAGCTCAGGAGGCTGAGGCAGGAGGATCGAAAATTTGAGGCCAACCTGGGCAACTTAGCAAGACCCCTCAACCACTTAGCTCCATGGTGGAGTGCCCTGGATTCAATCCCCTGCACAAAAACCAAAAGGAAAACCCCCACACAGAGGAAGAGGAGGGGCTGGGCTGGGGAGAATTTGTGCATTGCCCAGGTTCAGGCCAGGAGGCCTTCCTGGAGGAGGCCAGGTGGGTATGGTCCCCAGGGAGGAAGGAATGGGCAGGAAAGGTTGGAGGGGTCCTATGGGAAGAGGAGGCTCTGGTTCAAGGAAGGCATGTGGCACCGGGAGGGCAGGTGGAGTTCTAAGTACTATTGCCAGAATGGGGGAGGGGGCATTGGTTCTAGGAGCCCCTCCCCCCCCCATGAATACCAAACTCTGCAGAGGCTCAGGTCCCTTATATAAAGGGGCCTACTATGTGCATATGACCTGTGCACAACCTCTTGTGATTCTAAGTCATCTCTGGACTTCTTACACTTCCCAGTTCAACAGAAACCGTCATTATTACACTGCGCTGCTCAGGAGATAATGACAAGAAGATGTGTACGTGTTCAGTGCAGACAGGTTTTCCTGAATATTTTGATCTGCAGAATGCACAGATATGGAACCCACGGATAGGGAAGGCCAACTGTTATAAGCATTTACTAATCTCCTACTGTGTGCCTCATGCTGTGCATTGATACAGGGGTTCTTTTATGTTCTTGGTACTGGGGATTGAGCCCAGGGGCACTTAACCATTGAGCCACATCCTCAGCCATTTTTATATTTTTTTATTTAGAGACAATGTCTCACTGAGTTGCTCAGGGCCTCGATAAGTTGCTGAGGCTGGCTTACAACTCATGATCCTCCTGCCTCAGCCTCCTGAGTGGCTGGGATTACAAGCATGTGCCACCTGTTTTTGTTGGGGGGGTGTGCAGATACCAGGGATTGAACCCAGGGGTGCTTAACCACTGAGCCACATTCCCAGCCCCTTTTTTTTAAAATATATTTTTTGATGTTGATGGACCTTTATTTTATTCATATATTTATATGCGATGCTAAGAATGGAACCCTGTGCCTCACACATGCCAGGCAAGTGTTCCACCACTGAGACACAACCCCGGCCCCCCAGCCCCTTTTTATTTATTATTTTGAGACAGGGCCTCTCTAAATTGCTGAGGCTGGCTTTGAACTTGTGGTCTTCCCGCCCCGGCTTCCCAAGTGGCTGGGACTCTAGGCCTGCACCACCGTGGCCGACAATGCTGGTTGTTTAATGTAAAGCTCTCACAAAGCCCAAGGCTCAGTGCAGCTTATGAAGTGGGAGTTAATAATGCTGTTTTCACAGTAAGAAAAAAAGCCCAGAGAGAGCAAGGAACCTGGCCCAGGTCACACAGTGTTGACTAGGAGGAAGACCTTGGCTCTGAGGAGGAATCCCTTGGCAAGGGGACAAGGACCAGACACAGAGTTGATGGTGCTGCAGACTCCGTCTACCTCCGGAGCTGGGTGTGGCAGTCAGCCAAGGGAAGTCCATCCTGAAGTCTAACTCCATCTTTCCTCCTCTAGTATCTTCACCAGCCTGCAGCATGGCCTCACTCCTGGCAGGCCTGCTGACAGCCCTGGCCCTGACCCAGGTCCCTGCAGCCCTCGCTGATGTCCTGGAAGGGGACAGCTCAGGTGAGCATCCCTGCTCAGGGTCCTTTCCCTCTGTCCCCTGCGGTAGAGGCTGGTTTCTTTTCAACCCTAACAATTGCTTCCAGCCCTGGGGGGCGTTGGGAGGAGGTCAAATAGGGGGCCTGCGGAGAGGGTGCGGGTCCCACGATAGACAGGGGTGTCTTGGTTGGTGGCAGGGCTAGGAAGCAGCACGAGGGCGAGGCTGAGGGCCTCTGAGTGGAGGACAGAGGGGGAGGCTAGGGCAGGATGAATGGATCTGGAGGCAGAAAGGAGCGGAATTGGAGTTAACCCTGAAGGGGAGAGGCTGGGGAGTCTGGGAGGCTGAAGGCCCCAGGCGTCCTGGTTGGAGGACCTTGGGGTGCAGCGTGAGGACCCTGGGGTGGCATCGGGGGACCCTAGGGGACGGTCCTGGAGGACCTAAAGTCAGGGCAGCAGGACCCGGTCCAGCCGGCTGGGGTGCTGGGGTGGAGGAGGGACTGCAGGTGGCGGAGTGGCGACTGCGCGGTGGCGGTGGCCGAGGGTCCAGTCCAGCGCCGCATCCCTCCCGCCCACAGAGGACCGCGCCTTCCGCGTGCGCATCGCGGGCTCCGCGCCGCTGCGGGGGGTGCTGGGCGGCGACCTCACCATCCCGTGCCACGTCCACTACCTGCGGCCGCCGAGCCGCAGGGCAGCGCCAGGGTCCCCGCGGGTCAAGTGGACCTTCCTGTCCGGGGGCCGCGAGGCCGAGGTGCTGGTGGCGCGGGGGCTGCGCGTCAAGGTGAGCGAGGCCTACCGGTTCCGCGTGGCGCTGCCCGCCTACCCCGCGTCGCTCACCGACGTGTCCCTGGTGCTGAGCGAGCTGCGGCCCAACGACTCGGGCATCTACCGCTGCGAGGTCCAGCACGGCATCGACGACAGCAGCGACGCTGTAGAGGTCAAGGTCAAAGGTAAGAGTGCGCCGCCCAGAGGATCCGGGAGGGAGGGAGGCAAAGACTCCTGCTCTGGGGAGCCCGCAGTCTGAGTTGGAAAAGGGGCCACAGTCTAACTTAAGTTTCTCATGCTGTAGAGTGAGAGCAATTTGGATTTTACCCCTGGTGCACAAGGAGGCTGGGGGATGGGGATCAGCGTACTGGGTGATCACTTGGCTCAGGTCCTCTCTGCCCTCAGGGGTCGTCTTCCTCTACCGGGAGGGCTCTGCCCGCTATGCTTTCTCCTTTGCCGTGGCCCAGGAAGCCTGTGCCCGAATTGGAGCCCGCATCGCCACCCCGGAGCAGCTCTACGCCGCCTACCTGGGGGGCTACGAGCAGTGTGACGCTGGCTGGCTGTCGGACCAGACCGTGAGGTGCGCGGGGGGGCTGTGACCCAGGCCGTGGCCTCCGGTTCTGCATGAGGCTGGAGGCACCAGGCTCCTGGCCTCTGGGGAAGGAGGCTGGTCGAGGAGGGCGGGAGAGGACCTGCTTCCCTGCAGAGCTGGGCTGGCAGCCCTGCGCTGAGAGGGCCAGGGTTGAGCAGGGCGCATGGAGGCTGGCTCCCGGGCAGAGGCACCTGCTCACCCTCTGCCCTCCCGTCCCAGGTACCCCATCCAGACCCCCCGCGAGGCCTGCTACGGAGACATGGACGGCTTCCCCGGGGTCCGGAACTACGGAGTGGTGGACCCGGAGGACCTCTACGACGTCTACTGCTATGCGGAAGACCTGAACGGTGATTGGAACTGGCCTCCCAGGGGACAAGCCCCTTCTCCAGCACCGCCCATAGGTCCCCCTGCCGCCTCACAGGGCCTTATTGTCCCTCATGCATTTCCCGAGGCTGGGAGGCAGGCGGGGGGCGGGGTAAGGAGACATCAGTGTCCCTCTTCGTAAACTGTCATCATAGACCCCGCGCAGGACGGTCCGCAGAAGGAGGAAGTGGGGCCAGGTTCCTCTCTATCGTGAGGTTCTGCCAGACTTTGATCCTCTAAGGGGGGACAGCTGACCACACACCAGGGGACAGAAGCCCGGAGAAGCTTGCTCAGGGTCCCGTGAGTGTCCAGGGTAGAAGTGTCCCCTGACCGCCGGTGACCGGCCCCCTCTTCTCCCCAGGAGAACTCTTCCTCGGTGCCCCTCCAGACAAGCTGACGCTGGAGGAGGCGCGGGCCTACTGCCGGGAGCGGGGCGCCCAGATCGCCACCACGGGCCAGCTCTACGCGGCCTGGGATGGTGGCCTGGACCGCTGCAGCCCGGGCTGGCTGGCCGACGGCAGTGTGCGCTACCCCATCGTCACACCCAGCCAGCGCTGTGGCGGGGGCCTGCCCGGCGTCAAGACCCTCTTCCTCTTCCCCAACCAGACCGGCTTCCCCAACCAGCACAGCCGCTTCAACGTCTACTGCTTCCGAGGTGAGCCCCTGCCCACAGAGTGGGGCCGCCCTCGGGGACCAGGGCCCGCCTGGAAGTCCGGCCCCAGCTTCAGCCAAAGCCCTTCTCCTGGGTCTTTGGCCTGGTCCCCAGTTTCTCAGCCAGGACTCGAGTTCCTGGGCTGCCCCTGGTGTGGTCTCACTCCGCTACTGGCCCCAGGGAGTGGTCACCATTGGCGTCGCCTTCCCAACACTAGTCCAGGCCTGTCTCCTCCAGTTTCACATCGGCCTCTGCTTATTGGCAGAGCAGAGATGATTGACAGCCTCTGCATCCAATGAAAACCATCTGCTCCTGTTCTTCCTGCTAACCCCAGGTCTCCAGAAGGGTTCTAGAACTAGAACGCAGCTTAGAGGTGTCAGATCTGCAGCCACCAGATAGTGATGGATGGAGGATCCCCACCCCCACAGGAAGCAGGACCTCGAGGACAGTTGGGCACAGTTATGAGGCCAGAACCTCTCTCCAGGAAGAAGCAGGAGGAGGAGATGGAGGAGGAGGAGCAGGGAGGAAGGGAGGAAGACTACAGGTGGAGCACAGGCCCCAGAGACCAGGTTTCCTGGTCCCGTGGAGCCAGGCTCACTGGGGCAGGTGACGAGGACAGGGACGCACTGTCCCTTTTCCACCTGGCTGGACACAGACCAGCCCTCAGGACTTTTCTTGGCCCTTTGCTTCCTTCGTTTTCTGCTCTCAGTCCCCGTCCCAGAGGATGAGGTGATCCGTCCCAAATCTCTGGATACTTGAAAGCAGCAGGTGCCCCAAGGACATGGCCCCTTCCTTTGCCCTCTTGTCTCAACACTCAGATCCTCAGGTAGAGACTGTCAAGTGTTCCTCAGGTACCAGGGGGTTGGAGCCTGTCCCCATCCATTTCAAATATCCCACCAGGCGTGGTGGGTCATGCCTGTAATCCCAGCAGCTCTGGAGGCTGAGGCAGGAGGATCTCAAGTTTAAGGCCAGCCTTTGAAACTTAGCAAGGCTCTAAGCAACTTAGTGAGACTCTGTCTCAAAAAAAAAAAAAATAGAAAGGGCTGGGGATGTGGCTCAGTGGCAAAGCACCGAGATTAAATCCCCAGTACAAAAAAAAAAAAAAATTAAGATGACTGGCACCTTAATCCAAGACTAGGGTCTCAAGGTGCTGAGACCCTCTCATCCATTCTTCCACCTCCAACCCCTCACTCAAGGGATCAGCTCTCACCTGGGTCTTTCTGGCACAGAACTTCCCATCACTGTCTTCTAGTCCGGCTCAATTGTCCTTTATATGGTTTCATTATAACTGTGCGTATCTGTTTTTCGCCTGTATCTAGAGTATAAATCCCCTTGAGGGCAGGAAGCTTGCTATTTGACTCTGCTCTGTGTCCTCCATGCCCAGGAGAAGGCTTAGCGTGACACCCTTGATGAACACTTGGGGAATTGGTGACAACGTTGTGGGTGCTGCCCCTTGGACCCTCCATGGAGAGTTTTTGAGAGAGCTGAGAAAATCCCGGAGTGTCGGACAGGCTAACCCAGAGCCCTTGCCTGCAGACCACGACCCTGGGGGGCCCAGGGTCTGTTCAGTCATCCATTGGACTTTTCCTCCTGCCAGACGCTGCCCAGCCCTCTGCCACGCCCGAGGTCTCCCTCCCAGCCTCTGACCCAGGCTCTGATGGACTAGAGGCCATCGTCACAGTGACAGAGACCCTGGAGGAACTGCAGCTGCCTCCGGAGGCGGTGGAGAGTGAGTCCCGTGGAGCCATCTACTCCATTCCCGTCATGGAGGATGGAGGAGGCGGAAGCTCCACTCCAGAGGACCCGGCCGAGGCCCCCAGGACCCTCCTAGGTAACTCAAACGTCCCCTAACCCTGGGGAGATGTTGCCACCTCAGAGAGGCTGAGGGCAGAGGGTCACAGCCCAGGTAGATGCTGGGGGCGCGGCTGCCATGAGTTGGGCCTGTCCTTTCTGGGCTTAGTGGTGCGTGGCCTCTCCCCTGTCCCTGCCCTGTCCCTCTCCTGAATGTTGCTTTTCTGCTCAACTCCACCCCCGACTCTCTGGGGCTAGAGATGCCTGGACTAAGGGGCTGCCCCGGGAAAGAGAGTTGTCCCTTCGTTGGCCCCTCCTTGCCTTTCCTACCCGAAACAGAGGATTGACAGACTAGAAGAGGGGGACATAACCGCCCTGTTTTCCTGAGCTCTTGACAGCTCGCAGCCCTTCTTAAATATGGCTCCAACAGCCGGGGACGCGGTGTGCACCTGTGATCCCAGCGACTCAGGAGGCTGAGGCAGGAGGATGGCAAGTTCAAAGCCAGCCTCAGCAACTTAGTGAGGCCCTAAGCAACTCCATGAGACCCTGTCACTGAATGAAATGGAAAACAGGGCTGGGATGTGGCCCAGGGGGTTAAACGCCCCAGGGTTCAATCCCAGGGACCAAAAACCAAACAAACAAAAACGCCCCAACAGTGGAGCTCAGGTTGAAGTCCCCCTGTGTGGAACACAGACCAGCCCTCCCAGGCCAGGCTCTCCCCAACCCGCTTTCCCCAGTCCCCCCTTTTTTCTCTCCCGTCCTTCCTCCCACAAGGCTGCGGGGTGCTGTCCCTGGTGCTGAACTCTGTTCTTTGCCCAGAATTTGAAACCCAATCCGTCGTACCGCCCACCGGGTCCTCTGACCAGGACCAGATGTTGGAGGAAGAAGAGAGATACGAGGACGAAGAAGAGGCAGAGGAGGAGGAGGAAGAGGAGGTGGCGGAGGACGAGGACCTATGGGCATGGCCCAGCGAGTTCAGCAGCCCTGTCCCCACGGAGCCCGAAGCCGAGGACCCGCTGTCCCAGGCCTCCCCGCCAGCAAGGGCAGTCCTGCAGCCCGGAGCGTCTCCACCTCCCGAGGGACAGTCAGGAACTCCCAGGCCTCCCAGGGCCCGTGGACCGCCTACCGAGACTCTGCCCACTCCCAGGGAGGGGACCCTGGCGTCCCCACCATCTTCCACTCTGGTTGGGGAGGAAATCGAGGGTCCTGAGCTATCTGAGGTCCCTCAAGGAGAGAGCGAAGAGACAGGGAGCTCCGAGGATGCCACCTCCCTGCCTCCAGCCACACAGGCCCCCGAGGGGACCGGAGAGCTGGAAGCCCCCTCTGAAGAGGACTCTGGGAGAACCATCCCCGCAGGGACCTCAGTGCAGGCCCAGCCGGTGCTGCCCACTGACAGCGCCAGCCGCGGCGGAGTGGCCGTGGCCCCCTCATCAGGTAACTCTGCCCAGGGCGCGAGCTTCCTCCTGATTCTCCCTTTCCCCCTCCTGCAGCTCGGGATCCCCCGACCCGGGGTCCTTTAGTCCCCCTTGTCCCTGACTCTCCTGTCCTGACTCTCCTCGTTCTCTTCCCTGTGGGTCTCCCATCTCGGTACCCCACCTGGTGACTTCCACCCCAGCTCTCACCTGTGACCCCAGCCCCACTGCTGACCCCCCGTGACCCTTCTGTCCTCGGGACCTCTACTTGTGACTCACATCTCACTGACCCCGCAGTACCTCCTCATGCCTCTTCAGGATGCCCTGGTCACCCATGGCATTCTCTGGGGTCAGGCCTGTCTTCCTCTGCTCCCTCCCAACCCCTTTCCCGTGCTGTCCCCTTTGGTCACCTCCCACTGATCTCAGGGAAGCCTGGGAGTCCATCCCTGCCCTTCGCCCTCTGGGGTCCAGGAGAGCCTTCCCCCTACAGAGCCTTAAGCGACTACTTCTGTGAAGTATTTTTTTTTTCCGACTGTTTCATGGAAAACAAGCCTTGGAAATAAATCTCTATTAAACTGCTTTGTAACCAAACCGTGGCCCCCTGTCTCCCTCTGAAGCTGCCCACCCTTTTCACCCCATGCTCTCTGTGTCTCCTGGTCTCTTCTTCCGGCTCCCGGCTTTCCTGTCCTCATGGTCTAACCGCCCCTTGCTGCCCCCCCAGCTCCTCCTCACACCTGTCTACACTCCCCCTCTTGCCCGCTGACATCCCAGATTTGACTGTACGCATTGCCCCAGAGAAGCGGTCAGCTGTCCATCTGCAGGGGGACTGAGAGCTGTGGTCCCTCACTCCTGGGGCAGTGCGTTGAGCATTTCTGTTCATTTTTGGTCCACTTGGGTGGCTCCTGTATTGATGGAGAAACCATAGGGCCAGCTCCTTGGCCTTCAGGCGCCCTGGCCCCTCATCCCCACCCCCACATCTCAGCAGGAGACACTGCCTAACTCCAGCTGCTGCCCTCGCCTCCCCTCCACTAACCCCTGCACTAATCACCACCCCTGCCCCCAGGAAGACTGGTTTCCCCTCCCCGAACCCAGAGGGTCTCAGAGTCTCCCCTCCTGGCGAAGATGCTAGAGGAGGAATGTGGAGGGAGAAGGAGCGAGAAGTTAGGTTCGGGGATCTGGGAGAAGCCCACCTGCTCACAGAAGGTTCAGATCCCAGTGCAGGCTCGTGGAGAAGGCTGGGCCAGAACCGGGCCCCCCTCCTAGAAGGTCCAGGGTGGGCTCAGGACCCCAGCATGAAGCCAGGCTCACCCATTTCAACTGTGGGCTTTCTGCTCAGCTGGCCCTGGAGTTGGGCCCTCTGCAGGGTAAGGAAAGGGTTTGGTGGGAAAAGACCACGGTGGGGGGGGATCTCTTCAGTTTCTTAAGTTACCCCAGCTAGAGGGGGGAGCAAGCGGTCCCCAGACCTGCTATTGCAACAAGAGGAAAGGCAAAGCTTTCAGGCGTATACTGTAGCTGGCCTCAAAGAGGGGGAGGGAGGAAGGAGAGAAAGCCCCAAAACACGTCCTTTCACCCTAGTGTGTACCCTAGGCTCAGGTCCTGCAGTCACAGCCAGGGCTAGGAGCTGTGGCCTGTGGGGCAGGACCAGAGATGGTCCTGTTCCCCAGCTTGGAAGGCTGGACAGAAAGCCAAGAGGAGAGCAGGAGCAGCGGGAGAGCATGAGGCACACGGGGTGGCCAGGATGCCTCTCTGTTGGGTCTGGCACTTAGTGGATGAAATGAAACACCTGTGGGGGAGGGGCGGCGTGACCAGCTGGGCAGCAACTACTGGCAGGAGGGGAGACCAGGGAGGGAGAGGTGCTAGAAAAGCTGATTCATTTTTACCCCAAACGGCAAGGTCATCCCAGTATAATTCTTTGAATCAACTCCAGCTTCTCCCCAGTCCCTGCTCCGAACCCCACCAGGCAGTGGACACCGCAGGTCGGTCAGTGTGAAGCACTGTGGGCCTGGGCTTCAGTGTGGTTTCCTCCTGTCACGGATGCAAGCACTGGTGGTCTGTGGAACCATCGTCCCCTGGGTCCTGTGAAGAAAGGAGTAGAAACTGACAGTAGCCAGCACCCGGACTGGACCTAAGAGCAGCCCCCTTGCACCCCAGGATCTAGAGAGTTAGAGAAGGCAGGTGACTTGGCCAAGTGGGGCCAGGTCCCCAAACCAGCCGGAAGCCTTCAGGGCAGCATGTTGGCCTAAGAGGACTGCCTGGAAGAGGGGGAGCCGAAAAGGGGGTGAGATGGGTCAGGCTAGAGACTCTACAGAAGGCCCGAAGTGGAGGCTGGTAAGGGGGGAAAGTCTTAGGTGAGACAAGAAGGGGGGCAAAGAGGTTGCCTAGTCCTGCCCCTTTCAGTGGGCAGCCTTAGCCGCTCTGGGTTTTGGGGTCCTCTGGCCCAAGATGCCTACGATGGTGGGGGTGGTGAGGGCAGAGAGTGGGCTGGATCTCTACTGGCAACTTCTGGGCTGGAAGGTTCTGCCCAGTGGACATCAGGGAGAATGGTCAGCAGTCGCCTGGACCACACCCATATCAGGTGCCAGGGACAGTCCAGGGAGGCCACACCCACTGCTGCTGGTGGTCTCTGCAGTCCCACTCAGTGGCCCACCTAGACTATACAGAAGTCTGCTGGGGCCTGGCACAAAGATAAGGGGCCTAGAGACAGGAAGTGACCTGCCCAGTGTCGCACAATTGACGGCCCAGGATCTTCCCCGATAGTGACTCTGGAGCCTTCCTGGCCACTTCCCCTCGGGCCCTCGTGGACTGGGCCCACATAGGTGGGCATGACAGTGGCCTGCACAGGCTGAGCCAGTGATGAGCTCAGGGAAGGGCGGGAGGAAAGGGGAGGAAGAGCCCCAGGATTCAGAGCTGGGCTGTGACCAGAGGCTGGCTCCAGGGACCACGTTCAACTCCCAAGACAGGAAGGTCAAGATTGGGGGACCCCCTGGACCCTCCCCTAGAGGGCTCAGACTGCATGGGTGTGCTCCCCTGCTCCCCCACCTCACTTCTTTCCCCCTCTCAGGTGACTGTGTCCCCAGCCCCTGCCACAATGGTGGGACATGCTTGGAGGAGGAGGAGGGGGTCCGCTGCCTGTGTTTGCCTGGCTATGGGGGGGACCTGTGCGATGTTGGTGAGTGTGTTGAGGGAGGCGGGGGGCATACCTGAAGCCTGGACCCTGCCCCAATATGCTAGTGCTGAAGGGCAGAGGGAGGGCGCGAGTTTGGGCCATGAGTCCCCGCTTTAGGCCTGGGGACACGACTTTGCTGAGCCCTGTTCTCCATTTGTCGCTCTTGGAGGCACACTGCTGGCCTTCGGTACACGCCACCTGCCCTCCTCCTTGGAAGGGAGGACAGCCGAATTCTCCAGGATGGAGCATTGCAGACACTCATGGTCCCTGTCTCTTGGAGAAGACACCGATACCCCTGCCCAGGACCCCCTCATTCCCAGCTAGCTTCTTGGCACCGCCCTCCTGTCCCTCGGTCCCGCCCCTCGCGGTCTGCGGCGCGGGGAGAAGGCGCGTCCCTCGCCTGCAGATCTGACCTCGCTGCATTCTGGTCCTCCGGCCTAAGATGTCTGTCCCTCTGTGCCCCAGGCCTCCGCTTCTGCAGCCCGGGCTGGGACGCCTTCCAGGGCGCCTGCTACAGGCACTTCTCCACGAGAAGGAGCTGGGAGGAGGCGGAGACCCAGTGCCGGATGTACGGCGCGCACCTGGCCAGCATCAGCACGCCCGAGGAGCAGGACTTCATCAACAGTGGGCTGGGGCCGGGCGGGAGGGGACCTTCGCCATCGCCTCGCACACACTCGAGATTGACACCCTCATCACTTGGCTGCCCTCATTCAGCCAGTGTTCCTTCACGGTTTCCTTCTCTCTCCTTCCCTCTCTACGCGTAGGCAGGGGGCTTTAGGGAGGGGAAGGCTGGGGTTCCACCGGAACTTACGGCTGTATCAGCTCCCACCCCGCTCTCTGCCCCCCACTCTGGCCTTCGTGCCGGGGTTGGAGGGATCAAAAAAGAAAACAGCGGTAGGCCAGGCTCCGTGGCCCACGCCTGTAATCTTAGCTACTTAGGAGGCTGAGGCGGGAGGATCGCCGATTCGAGGTCAGCCTCAGCAATTTACAGAGACCTTGTCCCAAAATGAAAAATTAAAAGAGCTGGTGTTGTAGTTCACAGGTACATGATAGAGTGCCCTTGGGTTCAATCCCCACGAAAGAGAGAAAAAAGAAAATAGCGAGGGCCTGGGGATGCAGCTCGGTGGTAGAGAGGCTGCGCAGGACGCGAGTTCCTTAGCGCCGGGTACAGAACAAAAAGCCAGACCCGGGGAGGGCGTGGGTTTTGGATTTCTGCAAGGACTCCCCGCAGGCCACCCGGTAACAGGGAATCTGCGCCATCTGCTGGCAGTGCCGCTCACCGCACGCCCCGTCTCCGGCGGCTCTTCCCCAGATCGATACCGGGAGTACCAGTGGATCGGGCTCAATGACAGGACCATTGAAGGCGACTTCCTGTGGTCGGACGGCGTCCCTCTGGTGAGAGGCCTCAGCTGGCCCTCACTCCCTCTGGTTCATTCCTCAAAGCACGCCTGGCCTTCGCCAGCAGTCACCCACCTCCGCCCCTTCCTTTGCTGATGGCCTTTCCCTACCCAGGCCCCCTCCCTCTTCTCCCGGGCCCCCCTCCCCTCCTTAGGTCCCTCTCTCCTCTCTCTGGCTCCCCTTCTCCCTCTCCCAAAGCCCCTTATTCCCTCTTCGGGTGTCTCCAACCCCCAGGCCCTTAGCCTCCCCTCCCCTGAGGTCCCTCCCAACCCTCCCCAGTCCTCTGCCCCTCCCCCACCCCGTGCTCACGGTGCGGTGGCTCTTCCCACCTCCGTCCCCCCAGCTCTACGAGAACTGGAACCCTGGACAGCCTGACAGCTACTTCCTGTCTGGAGAAAACTGCGTGGTCATGGTGTGGCACGATGAGGGACAATGGAGTGATGTGCCCTGCAACTATCACCTGTCTTACACCTGCAAGATGGGCCTGGGTGAGGATGGGCAAGGGAGGGTCCAAGCCCTCCAGGAGGGGTGTCCTTTCTTTTCCCAGGGGGTCCCAAGGATTGCTTACGGAAGGAGGGTACAAAGCTACCCAGAGGAGGCTGACCATGTGGTGGATAATGAATTACGGAAGTCCACTCGGAATCCCCAGGGGAGCTGGGTGCGGTGGCATGCACGCCTGTAATCCCAGCGCTGGGGAGGCTGAGGCAGGAGGATCTCGAGTTCAAAGCCAGCCTCAGCAATTTAGCGAGGTGCTGAGCAACTCAGCGAGACCCTGTCTCTTAATAAAATATATTTTTTGAAAGGGCTGGGAATGTGGCTCAGAGGTTAAGCCCCCCTGGGTTCAATCCCGGGTACCAAAAAAAACCCTGGTGGTTTTGTAATGCTGTGGCCACTCATTTCCTCTCCCTATCAGGATTCTGGGAACCCTCCTCCACAGAGCAAGTTTCCTAACGCCTAACTGTGCTCCCCATGCAGTGTCCTGTGGGCCTCCTCCGGAGCTGCCCCTGGCTCAAGTGTTCGGCCGCCCACGGCTGCGCTACGAAGTGGACACGGTGCTGCGCTATCGGTGCCGCGAGGGGCTGGCTCAGCGCAACCAGCCACTGATTCGCTGCCAGGAGAATGGTCGCTGGGAGCCCCCTCAGATCTCCTGCGTGCCCCGCAGGCCTGTGAGTGCCAGGAGGCTGGTGGGGGACATGGCCAACAGAAGCCCTGGGCTCCAATCCCAGCTCTGCGTGGTGGTCAGCTGGCTGTGTAAACTGGAGTGACACCTGGGTGATCAGTGGTAGAGGGAAGTGGCTGAATGCCCTGCAGGGGTCGTGCCTGGGCACAAGCAGCCACTCTGTGCTCCTAAGGGGTGAATGGGGCAAGTATTGGTGAGGACAGGGCCCAGGAGCAGGAACACCACACCCAGGGTGGGCTGGGAAGGAAGGGGAGCCCAGGTGGAGGCTGAGTGTGTGTGTGTGTGTCCCCAGGCCCGGGCTCTGCATGCCGTGAAGATCCCAGAAGGACATCCAGGGAGCCTGCCAGGACGCTGGAAGGCACTGTGGACCCTCCCTTCCGGCCCTCCTCCGGGTCCCCAAGTGGGAAAGCCTTGAATGCTGCTGTCCCCAGCACTGCCCTCGGGCCTCCAAGGTCCCTCGCGCCCTGAGCTCTTCCCGCCACAGGAAGTGAACATGAGAGGGTGGAGCTGGAGCCCAGGTGACAGCCTGAAAGGCTTCTGGGAAATACCTGGGGGCCTCCAGCCCAGCCCAGGCCCTCTTCCCCAGCAAGATGGGCCTGGGCTTCAGGTTTCCCCCTCAGGGCAACGGGTCAGTCCCTAAGTGCCTCAGCGGCCCTCTCCCTGCCAGCTACCCTGGCCCCTCCATTTTTCTAAAGGGCACTGTGCCCACTCAGTCTTGATTTTCCAAGGAAATGGATTTGCAGGATGGAATACCTGTAAAGCCAACGGAAAATAAAGATGTGCTTAGCCCCAAGAAGTGCTGATGCTGCTTTGTGGGGGGCTGGGGGGGCAGGGCTCAGAGACTAGAGCATCCGGGCATTCGCTTCTAGAGGTTGGCGAGGTCCCCGCCATGTCAAGGGCAGAACAGTGCCCGGCACAGACTAGATGCCCAGCAAACATTCAATGAAAGAAGCCAAAGGGGTGGGGACAGCAGGAGTGGCTCAGAATGAGGATGTTTGGTTCAGTCGGGAGGAGGACGAGCTGAGGTCCCGGAGAGGAAGGCAGCTTCTGGGGCTACTCTGGGGTGGGGGGCGGTGTGAGTGAGGTGAAGTGGAGGTGAAATGGCAGGAAGGCTTGCTCCAGCCGGGAAGACACAGATGCAGGAACTAGGAGACCAAGGTGAAGAGCCTGGGCAGGATTCTGCGTACTAACCGGTGTGGACTGCAGAGGGCGCTGCGAATGCTCCGAGAGAGCCGTGTGCGCATGCGTAAATGGACAAAGGCAGGAGATGTGTGAAGAGTCCCAGGAGGCCGCCAGGGGGCGCTGCGGACTTTCTTTCCGATTCTTCCGGGGCGGGGGAGGCGGGTAGTTGGCTGCGGAGGGTAAGGCTTCCGGCCAGGGCTGGGGACTGTGAGTCAGCTGAGATTGAGTTGATGAGGTCATTGTGAGAACTGGAGAATG